GGAAAGCGAACATTGTTCGAGCATCAAACTTATGGGTGATTTGGTATTACTAACTATACGTTAGAAGCTTTCTTATTGTGAAATAATCCTTTTAGCATGCATTCCAAAATATTTTGTCGTCGCAAATTTTTAGTACAATCACGTTTACCTTGAAAAACAGCTTACAGTGAGCCCTACATCGTTCACTGAGGTAAAACAAATATACGCGTATAATATATTGGCGTTCTTACTCTTGTCTAATTATTACAACAGTGCATAGATGAATGCAGTACTGTGTTATGCGAGAGCAGATGCGGGTAGGGAACTGTGCTTAGGTCTTGTTTTATTTAGAAAAACTTTTATGCAGCCGTTGAAGTCAGCGCTTACAAGAACGTGTCCACCGCAACCTTTAGTGCGCTGTTCAACCACGGGATCAACAGGAGGAACTTCTACAGTTGAACTACCTAGATTTGTTACATCTTCCTTATTTTCCCTCCACTGCTCTCTTTCTTCGATCTGCTTAATAATACTATCTGGATTTGGTGCAAATACTGCGCATGTAACTACAGCGTTGTGAGCTTTTATACCTTCCCAAAAGTCATTTCGATCTCTGCGTACACTCGAGAATTTGGAGTAATCGTGATGGGTCTTCCAGATATAAATGCACTGATTTTCCGAACCACTAACTATGTACTGTCCGTCAGGGCTGAAACTCGCTTTAATCTGACTACTGACGTTAACGTAACCTTTGTATTTGCACGATAAATTTAAATCTCGTAAATCGTACAAACGAATACGACTATCGTTTGACGTGACCAAAATTTTCTCTTCCCCCGGCATTGGTTCGATACCACTAATTTTTCTTCCCGTGGAATTTTTACCTCTCGTCGATCGAACGTGTATTTGCGTGTGATACTTCAATTGATCCGTATTGTAAAATATACATCGGCCATCGTACGAGCCCACGACTGCGAATTTTCCATTTTGGCAAAAGTTTGCGGCGGTAATTAACTTAGTTTGTCCATCGACTTCGTTCCATACAGCTACTTTCTTGTCCGGAATATTCCAGAGACGAAGTTTACCGTCTAAAGACCCTGAGAGAAAATATCGATCATCGCGAGGATGAAACACTATCGCCGTAACAAAATCGATGTGCTGGAAACAGCATAAGCATTCCTTTCGCGATATATGCCAAAGTCGCACAGTTTTATCCATTGACGATGATAAAACGAAATAATTTTTAGACCATGAAACATCGAGCAAGTCTGAGGTATGGCCGGCGTAAGTGCAGAATGGCTTTGGCATAAAAGGACTTTTTGTCCCCTCTATTTCACTGAAGGCACTAGCCACAACATTAGGATCTTCCATGGATTGTTGCGAGACCAGGGATTCTTGCGAAGGAGTTGGACTAACTTTCTCGGCATTGTATTTCGTTCGCATGTCTTGAAAGTACGTGAACGCATCGCGTAAAACCCAAATTCTTAGAACTCGATCTTGTCCTGCCGTAGCGAGCAATCGTCCACAAGCAGAAAATTTCATACACCAAACAGGGCCCACGTGTTCACCACTTAAGTCTTGAACGTGCTGTAACCAACTAAATTCATATGGTCCTTTGTGACTATTGGACGCTTTCAATTTAATGTATTGCTGTTCACCGGGATAAACTTCATCTACTATTTCCATAACGTCTTCTTTGTGTCTGGCGTGAGATACTTCCTGCGCGATAGATTTTGCTTTGTCCATCGTTTTTTTTACAGTAGATCCTAAGAATCGTTTCAACTTTTGAGTTTTCTTTCGAACTCTACCAACGGCTACGTCTTCGTCTGGTGGTATACTAGACATTTTACTGTCGACGCTTTCCTCGTCGCTTTCTTTTTCCTTCTCCAGACTAGAATTACTTATATATTCGGAAGTAAGTCTCATTATATGAAGCGACAAAGGGTTAATACACTGTGGTAATTTATCTTCCGCTATACTTAATGGCACTCTTTCTCCAGTGTCTAGGTTTAGTACAGTTACTTGTTCTAAAATTTCCTGAAAAAAAAAAAAGAATAAATATCGTTTGTTATTAAACTATAGACATTGAGAAGCATTATAATTAATAAATAACTCTTTACTAAATGTCTTACCATGTCCGTTAGACGTTTTCCAGAATCCGTTCTTGTTCTCACAAACATATTCAACTGTTTAATCATATCTTGATCACCAGCCGATTTTCGTCTCTCTTTCGAACCCGAAGGACTTAAACCCGAAAATTTATGAGGACCTAAAGAATAACGGCCAATGCTGTTACTAGACATGGATCCCACTGGACTACTTGATTTATCGCTCGATCTCAAACTCATTAATTCTGCTTTTGCTCTTTCTATTCTTTCCAATTCTTCAGCCGATGGTCCTTCCGCTTTCGACTTAACTTCATCCTAGAAATAAACAATGATGTTAAATATTTACATTGCATGTAACATGTTAAGCTATGTATTCATAAATATATCAGAATACGTACTTGTGGTTTAACAACATACTGTCCCTTTGTAGCAGATCGAATATCAAGAGAATGCTCAAATTCTCTAGTGATCGACTCAATAGTACTTGCTGGACTTGGTAATGGTGAAGCAGGTAAGACTGATTCCGTTGTGGAAGGCTGAAATTACGAATCAACGTTTATATACTTTATACGTTACTTTTTTACGTTGGATAATTATATTAACGAAGAAATATCGTACAGCAAGATCAGTAGGTGTCTGAGCTTTTGGCTTCTTTTTACGTCTTGGGGGTGCAACAGGTATTCCAATCACGGTAACATCTTCGCTTGACTTTCCATTATTCTTTGTACTAGCGATGACATCGGGCTCTTGAAGTATAACAGTCTTATCATTTTGCGAGCGAGGAGCACAGTTAGACCTACCGTTAACAGAGGATTCCTGTAGGATATCCCCTGATAATGTAAGGATACTGGACGACTGGGACACCTTACCAGACATCGTGTCCTCGTCTTTGCTTGGTATACTAGCAATGGAGGACATTTGACTATCACGGGTAAGGATGCCAGAAGGGGGATACTGGGGTACATTTGTTACAAGTACAACGGAAGCACTGTCTCCAACTCCAGCTAAAATTCTACCCACTCGTCCTAAAGATGTCATACTCTGTAGACTAAGAGCATCATGTTCTATGATTCTAAAGGGATGAGTTGTTTTTGAAGGAGTAGGATAAACACCCTCGATAGATGATGTTTGACTATCTGGAGGGGAATTATTAATCGGGATATCATCATCCTCTGTTTGCATACGCTGCCTAAGTTCACGAAATCTCCTCCTGCCCACAATCTTATCAGTGCTTGATTCCTTTCCATCTTCCTCCTAAATAAATGTGAATCTTTAATTACAAATACAAAACATTAAATATATAATGACCTAATATTGATGAGTACTTACAGATTTATCTTTACTAGGCATACATTCTATAGGTACAGGTTCCTTTGGTTCTGCAGGTTTCACAAAAACATCATCGTCAGATTTTTTAGAAGCATCTGATACATCCTTAATTTGTATTTCAGTATTTTCAGTGCTGGTAGAATCACGTTGTTTACTTTTCCTATAAAAATTAGATACTCATTTCAAAAGGAAAGCAATACTTGGGGTACAAACCATAAAATAATCTTTGTGTTTCACTAACAAATGATTGAATTCACAAGTGATCAAACATTCAAATTTTGTCATATAAAACTCAACAAAACTGAGAGAAAAAAATAAAAATATTTAAATGATGATTCATTTCATAGCTCAGTAATCTTTAAAAAAAAATACATAAGTTAAAGATCATATCTCAAGTTTCTGGAATGACAATGCCAACGATTACAATCCTAGAAAACGTGCAAGTACCGGCCCCGAAATAAGTGCTTTCGATCGTAGAAATAATTGTACGTATGCAAGTATTAAATTTCGAACCTAACCAAAAATAATTCGGAACATAATACAGCGAAGAGCTAGTTATGAAGAAATTGCTCGAAACAAACATCCGTACGCAGAAGAAAACTAAACGAACTACGAGTCCAACAAAATGAAAATCGCGAATCAAATTTTTATAATAGCTGTTATTCGATAAATGTCCGTGTTCAAATAATTGCGAAAAACAGTACAGGAATTATCTGTAATACCTATGCATAGTAAATGAATGATTATTATAGGTTTTCGAACAGAATCATACGTCAATCGAGGACTAGTTAAATTACCGTGAATTGCGGTGGGAAGTATCATCCTCCGCATCAAAAAATTCTTCGGAATCGCTGCTTCCAGACATTGTCGTCTGCACTGAATGATCAGTAATAATACTATTGTCCGCATCGGTACTGTCAAGGCACGTCACGCGTTTCGCAAAATCGCGAACACTGGGGTTGAACAGAAACGGCTACAGGATCGCGAGCGGCACGAAGTCATGACTTGATTTCTAATATTCTAATAGCGGTTACACAAGTGGACAGCTCTATGTTGGACAGTGCTGAAGAGTGCTGAATGCGCTCGTGCGCCCAGGAAACAATGATTTGTGCCGTGAGAGGAGAAACTCACTAGCTTTGGACAGCCATACCCATCTTCATTGCCATACGTTTCTAAGAGTCGCGCGACTAAAAAAATAGATGGAGCTACCAAGACTGTTCGTAATTAAATCTGATACCATCTTAACAAAATATTGCTTACCTTAAAAACCTATTCATAAGAGCAATTTATACTAATTCAAAGCATGCAAATTATTTCAAATCGGACGCGAATTACCAGACGCACCACTAATTATTAACGCGTTCTTTTCTTTTACTTCTTTATCGATATAGCATGAGGTTCATTTGTTCCTACAGGTGTCTCACTGTGTATACAAACGGCGGATGACCAACTTGGCCATCTGGCGGATATTTTACACTTTGTTGAAGAGGTCGCCACAGGACAATTTCTATACTCCCATCTCTCTTTTACGAGGACGAAGGAAGGGCTATCCTGAATTGGTGACTTTCCCCTCTCGTGGCACAAATTGTTGTCAGCGGGTGTACGTGTTTCAATTATCCCAAGTTCTTTCAAACGTAAATTAACGACGCCGAAAGTGGTAACACTGCACGGAGTCCGTCCAATAAAGAGGCCGCGTCATGGAAAAGAGTTGCGGGATTGGTGAACAACGAATTTGCAGCCTCGAACTCGTGCAGCTGCCCGCTCGCCAGCATGCCTGCTGCAAAGGAAGCGAGCCGTCACACAAAAGCAAGATGGAGGATCTCACAGTCGAAGTATGCGGCGAAAACGGAGCATATTATAAGGTTCGTTCTGTGAAAAGTATACAAAAAGCAGGGCTGAGGATTGAGGCCGTGGATAGATCAACTCACGGCCCATGGCGCGGTTCTAATCTCACGAAAGAGACGTCCATACTTCGCGAAAGCGCGGCCCTCAAATGTTCGCGAGGTAACGCGGCTTCCTCCGACGCCATGTCTCGTTTGACAGGGCGTGATTTTCGTCAGCTTTTCATGTTGCGTTTCGTCACGATGTTCTCACGATTCACGAAAACGCATTTTCCTTATGACGGAATTTTAGGAACGGCGCTCTCACTGATAGACCGAACGCGTCTCGATATTATGCCCGAACTTCTTACGCCACTCGCTTCGTTCCTTGATCTCTCGACGAGTGACTTTACATGCTTTACATTTTATTTTTTTTCCAGGCCTTTGTCAGCGATGTTTTTGAAGACGAAGTTCTGGTAACTTTCGAAAATGAGTAAGTTGTATTTCCACCTTGTCAAAAGCAATTTAAACACTGAAAATTGTAAGATGCCACTAGGGTAGTCTGTGCTGATGCAGACAGTGTAGTCTTCTCAGACAGACAGATTATATTATTTTTATCAACAGCATTGTCTCCTATGCTTTTCATACTTAATCCAATGATATCGATAGATCTATCACTTTATATGAATGTTATCTGATATCAACATTTAAGGATTTGAAATTTTCGATTTCTCTTGACGCATTATTCTATTTTTAAACATTAATCAAGAAAATGTGATTGTTCATCTGTAAATATTATTAAGAATTTTCGAAATTTATTATGAATTCTACGAAAGAGTTCCTATTTTTATTATTTACGTTTTTATATATTAAAAAAAATAAGCATTTTTGTTTTGCTTTTTTAAAACTCTAAAAAAATGTAGTATTCAAACTAAATATTATGAAATAGTAATATCGCAATAGTACCTTCATTATTTAAAATTGAGAAATTCTGTAAAGGAAATGCTTGTATCTTGAAGGAAATCTATATATTTTAAAATAATATATCTTGCATTTATCTTATCAAGATACATAAACAAAATTTTAATCGAAAAGCAATCATAAATATACATTACACATAATGTGTAGATTAAATACTTTAAAAAAAAATGGTGCTACATTATAAAAACCATTTATATGCATTTTATTTGAAACGTGATCAAAATTTATGTGTTACATTTTAGTTGGCAACCGGAATCAAAATTTCCATTTGCTCAAGTACGGCTACCTCCTAAGGATGGTCCAAAACCAGAATTTCAGGAGAATCAGGAAATCGAGGTATTTTCTAGGTCCAATGAACATGAAGCGTGTGGATGGTGGAAGGCAATTATTAAGGTCAGTAGTAACAAACTTTCTTACTATTTTTACGTATTAATTATACAGAAAAGTATATAGATGTATTTAATTTTCATACTGATAATCATTATTATACAAATATATTACTTGTAAGTTCATACATAGTAATTATCAGTATAGATTAAAATACTATACATATGCTTTATTGATTAACACATCGAATGCTATGCCAGTTTCTAAAGATACTTCAGTTATATGATAATATGAAATATTTCATGATGCTTTTTATAACAAAGCATTCAATGTGTTAATGTTGTATTTTAATACATTTATCAACAAATTTCCTACCAATTTCAGTTATAAACATTATTTACAGATTAGAATTGATGTTTCAGATGATCAAAGGTGGTTTTCAAGTAGTTGAATATCTAGGATGGGAATGTGCTTATACCGAAATTGTAGCTAGTGAGCGACTGAGGGCAAAAAATCCTAATCCCCCTATTGACAAAAATACATTTCACAAGATCGAAATGGAAGTACCTGAAGATCTAAAAGATTTGTATGTATTACATTCTAATTATTCTATCGCATTTATAATTAATCGTTTCGCTATGGCAGTCTATTCCGTTTGAACGCTCTTATTGAATGAGACGTTGCTCTAAAAAATGAGCGTAAATAGTTTTTGTCTTGGGGTTACATTTTACCGCTTTGTTTCCTTAATATTAACGTTTTTACACAACATGACGCAATAATAAATAGAATAATATAACATAGGTCTGAATGACTGAGAATTCATTTGTCTCTACATTCGCTGAAAGCAATGTACAAAAAAGGTGAACCGCAAAACAAATGATATCGTTTACAGGAAAACATACGCGAGTTTAAACCTACTCATTTCAGTAAAACTGTGTTGGTGTGTACATATAGGCACAATTGAGTGATGAAGAAAGAACGTTCGAAACTAAATAAAAGAAAGCGTTATTCAGCAACATTGTAGGCGTAAGGGTAGACGTAGAACGTAAACAAGAATAAATGTACTGAATTTTATAGCGAAAGGGTTAAAAGTATGTTCGGTAAAAGCACATGATATTACAGAAATATATTTTTATGTTCATAGTGCCAAAATGGATAATGTACATAAGGAATTTCAAAGAGCGATAGGGGCGGCAGTGTGCCGATATGTGCCTGAACGAGGAGTATTGCTGGCCATCTCTCGTCATGAAAATCTACATCGTAACATTACCATGATTCAGGAGATGCACTTTAGAAACTTATCGCAAAAGGTGAGCGGCAAAGTTAATTTTAGTTGAAATAGTACCTACATCATGACGCAATACTTCTAGTATTAAAACAATTATATATATATATATACATATATATATATATATATATATATATATATATATATATATTTTTTATACAATAGTTTGTTTATATATTACAGGTATTACTTTTGAAAAGAACAGAAGAAGCGGCACGTCAACTTGAGTCGACTAAACTTCAAACGATTGGGGGGTAAGTAAAGATATTACTGTTGGTGTTGCAATTAACAAAAAATCTTGTGACATTTAATACCTGCCTCTATCCATACACTGTCCTGGTTACCATCCTGTCTGTGGTTTGCATTTACTGGCAGAAAAAATTCACAGTATTTCCAGTCATTAATTGATATGTTTGCTTCTGAACATCATATAATTTTAATGAATGTCATTATGTAGTTACACTACAAACGTTTATTATACATTTCATTTTCGTTTCCACATGTTACATTTGTGATTGTATATAAAATATTTCATACATTTAACATAATACATTTTCAAAATCTATATACAGTAAGAACTCGTTAGTTGCGTGCCGAACGGACCCGTTAGTTGCACGCGAGTTACCCCCACCACTTATTGAAATTAACTTGAATGAGCGATACTCCAAGTCACCGGTGTTTGACACTTCAAATCGGTGAATGATGAATCATCATTCCGATGCATGAAAATTTTACTTTTTATCATTTATCATTAGGAAACAACCAATACAATGATGTGTGATTTTATTTTTATCTTCAAAGCTTTCGATTTTACAAATTAAATCTTTCGCGACGAAAATCGGTAATGTTCATTGATTAATAGTACAACATTCTTCGAGATAATGAAAGTATATATAAGGAGGAAACTGTACAACAAAAAATATATAAAACGTATATTAAATTAGAAACAAAATAGTAGTAAGAAGTATTATTAGATAGATAGGCATTATCGATTTGTACCGAGGAAGATATAAATTGTAAGGTCGAAAACGAATTACGAATACCATACCATACGAATTTGTATCATGTTTGTAGTCGAATGCTTAAAAGTATTCGCATGTTGCATTCGGTAGCTGTGCGACTACAGAATACTTTTACTCGGGTTCCTCGTCGAATTTAGAATATGTACCGAATTAATGTACTCAATGTTTGATGATTCGGTAAATACAAGTTACACGAGTATTTAATATTCAACAGCATGTATGAATACACAAAGTACAGGTAAATGTTGATATTCGTCACCACAGAATACATTATACATCAACTTTATTTTTTTACCCTTGCTCTTTCCATATCACTTTTCTCCCAATGACATAGGGCCAGATTTAGTGCAAGCTGATTAAACAAATCCTGGGGACTCGCCGTGTATTCGTTAGTTGCGTGTCACCGGACCCGAACCGCGTGCAGTTAACGAGTTCTTACCGTAAAAATTTCTGTGTCAATTGTCATTTTACTTTTCGTACCTTTGCCAATCACAAGAGCACGATGTGCATATTGTAATAAATTTGCACACGATGTACCTTTTCATCATCTGTCTCTTAGCAAGTGTCACTTTCTGCTGACATACTCTTTTGTTTATTTCATAATATTGTTGTATATAGGGTAATGCTATGCTTTTCATTATTTGCTGATTACAATTATCAGCTATATAGAATACGATTAGATCAGTTTTATTTCATGTATTTGGTAATACACTTCCGTATATTAAATGTTTTAAATATTTTTACTGCTATTTATTGCTTTTTCTATATTGAATTATTACGTTTATAAGTCAACAAAAATATGTTTATGAAACCTATAAAAATAAGAAGTTCCCGCACAAGTTAGGGAAATTATAGCGATAAATAAATGTAATTATTAGTTAAGTATTCCTGATATCAACGTAAATTAGTGTTTAAAATTGAAGTTTCCAAGTACTAAGTATCTGTACTGTCTATTTTACTTGTTCAAAACATTAGTGAACTAAATTATTTTTATAAGAGAAGTTTTAATTATCCTCATTCATTGAAACCAAAACTCAAAGAGGCAAGATATTTGTCTATTGACAATTGTATAAAAATTCAAAAAAGTCTTTGTAATTTTAGACGTTTCGTGTGTTCCTACAATAAAGGTCACTATGCGTCTCGAAATCCGTTTATCATATTGCATTCTTGATCGCTAAAATCAATTTTAATGAAATTATATTTTTAGATTGAGATACACAATATTCTTCAAAACAAGTAACGGGTTTGTATATTATTTTATTAATTAGACAGCAATGTTTAATACATCTTAGTAATTCAGTAGAAATTAAGGGATAAAGTTTCTAACACAAACTCTGGATACCAATTCATTTTTATACAGGTATGTTTCCAAACAACTATTAATTGTAATAAAAACTGGAACAACGAGTGTTTCAAGAGTGTTATGTTTTGCTTTTAAACTACTAATATACTAACAAAATACAAATATAAAAATATGTAGGATTCCTTTAAGAATTTTTTTCTAATATATTTTATTTGACAAATTCAACATCTCTAGCTTATTAAAATCTCGGTTGGGTATGAGGACTTTATGAATTATTTATTTCATTTAAATATTAATGGAAGTGGATGTGAAATAAAAATTTACAAATTTATTGGTGAGGAGCAAACAGACAGAATGGCAGGGACACAGGATAGGGCCATCATACGCATGAATTTCCACTGAGTTACACCAGAGTTTCTTTCTCATTTCAGCAAATTTAGATCTTCAAACTTTATATATCAGCGTGTCTCAGACTTTGAGGCAGGAGTGAAAACAAATTCAAGGTGAGATCACAGCAGCGTGGTTTAGATTTAAGTTTAGCTTATTGTATGACAAATTACACGGCTGAATTTTTCAAATGAAAAATTAAATACACTATAAATGTGCATGCTTCGGCGTTGTGTAGATCGTTCACTGAGACCCAATCGCTTTAAGTACACCGACATATAAAATTTATTATTTATTCTTTTCTATTTATTATTTGTTCTGTAGTAAAATTTTGCATAATTGATAAAATAGTGAACCGATTTAAACGTGTAGCTGTGATCAGTTTCCATTTCTTTTCTTTTTTCTTTTATATATATATATATATTTATGTGTTTGAGTAGAGTTTTAAGTTCATTGATCTATCCAATATAAGAATTATATTCTGGCCTGCCAATGTTTGAGAAACACTGATATATTAAGTGTCTTGCACAAAAAATTGGATAACTGGTGGCTCTATCCTATGAGTTTTTAAATGTAAATAATTTATTTACAAAATTGTAATAAGAATGATTAGAAACTTACATTTTGTATAAATAATAGGAATTTTAAACGTTAAAAAACTTGTTAGGCTATTATGATATTTTCAATTTTTCTCCTCACTGTGTCACTATTTAGTTTTTATATTTTATTTTAGTTAATAAAACATCCAAATAATTCAGCTTCTATACAGATATTTCACTTGTGTACAAATAAAATTATGGTAGTACATTTACTTCTATTTATATAAAAATTAATTTTGATATGCTTGTTTAATAAATTGTATGCCCCTAAGTTTTAGTGCAAAGGCTAAAAAGTCAGTTTGGTATACAATTCTATTTTATAAGTTCTATGAACAAATTTTAACACAACTTTACACTAATCATTATGCTATAAATATTAACAATTTTCAACACATCATAGCCACCTAGTATAATTTTTACTGGTACTGGTATTTAAATGATAGTTGAATCATTTTACTATTTAGGAAATACCCAAATTATAATATATTACAAACAAAATGTAATCATTTTTCTACTTTTACAACAAGAATACATATGCATGTTTCATTCAAATTCTAAATATTATCCTCCTAATACCCATGATTTTTTGTTATATTCTTACATAAACTGTGTGCGTATCTTCTCGCTATATACATTCGTTACTGCATCAAAAATATACTTTATATGTCTACTTCAACATGTTGTATGCGTGTGAGTGTTTCGAAAAATAAATTAAACATGCATTGCATATTACGTATTGAACTTTGATTTTAACTTAATACAGTTCGTTTAGAAAAATGTAACAACTGTTTTAAAATTGTCCTCAATTTAGCGATAGTTTCGTCATTTGTGCTTAAGTATCACCATTCATATGCCATGCACATTCAATGTTCCTTGTAAAACATTTTTCAAACATTATCATTATCACTTTTATCTGCCAGGATGCAAGCCACTGATAGGAATTAAATTCTATTAAAATACATCATATTCGTTTTATTGTACTCTAATGAAATAATATAATACTGCATGTTATTAATAAAGATCCAAATTTGATAGTACTAAAATTAAATATTGATTTATAATGTTTATTATCTGCAACAATATCGATCACATTAAGTTAATTTCTAAGATCACTGTTTGTTATACTTATAATACATATATATTTATTACGACTTCTTGCATAATTTTAGCTGGAAAGTATATATTTGAAGTTAAATAATGACAAAACAAAAAAAACGTTTTATTTTTTAGATACACAGACGAATTTAATGTTCGTGAAGACCTGATGGGTTTAGCAATTGGTGCTCATGGCGCAAATATTCAGCAGGCGAGGAAAGTCGACGGAATAACGAATATAGAATTAGAAGAAAATTCCTGCACATTCAAGATATATGGAGAGGTATACATTACTTGTGATTGTGTTATAAATTAATGTGTTATTTTTTTATCGAGTTACAATATATTTATTCAGAAATCATAAAATATGAAGAAATCTTAAGTGGTATATACTTGTTTCATTGCAGACACATGAAGCGGTTAAAAAGGCTCGTTCCATGCTCGAATATAGTGAAGAATCTATACAAGTTCCACGTGTTCTGGTAGGGAAAGTAATCGGGAAAAACGGTCGCATAATACAAGAAATTGTGGACAAGAGTGGTGTAGTAAGTATATTTGTACTATTATTTAGTACTTTGGTAAGTTATAGATATATTATTGCTACAGTATTTTGCATTTTTATCTTAATTTTAATTTGGACATATTTTTTAAAAATAATTACAGTTATTTAATTTTATGTAATTCTCCTATTTTAAAATATATAAACGATATTATCTCTGGAAATAAATTTAATAATGTCTTCTTATTGATTTTTTAATTTCAATAATATACAGTATGTCTAGATTAATCATATACATGCAATCATTTTTGAGACTATTGAAAATACATAAAAGTTTTCATGAGTTGGAGGGAGAACTATAGTACAGCATAAGATCGTGGAATGTACCAAACACAATGTCATGAAAAAGTCACGAATAATATTATATTGCTCCTTCCGAATCAAATAACATTTATATTTAATATTAAGGGTACCATGTCGAATCGGCGTATAAATACTTTTTAATTTCCGGTTTTAAAATAAGAGTTTTAACTATCATTGTATTTAGTTAACTTATATGTGTTATTTAATGAGTTTCTTCACCTTCCAAATATTCCTAAAAAGAGATTGTAAATTTATAAAAATAAATTCTCTGCTTTGTGTGGATACGCCCTTGTAGCATGACACCCTTGATATCTAATGCTTGTCATATTTTAAAAATAATTGAAGAAAGTAGTATTGCAAGCATAATTTATTTAATTAAACATGAACGTTTTTTTTCATGTTTTTAGGTTTAACAAACAATTGTTTATGTAGAAATTGCATTGAAGAAGATAAATGCAAAATTAAAACGTTTATGTTCAATCGAATAAACTATGCTTGTAAATAATATTTGTACAAACAACTTTTTGTATTTTCAATAGTTGTGAAAATTATTATGTAGAAATGGACATACTACATTTATAGATTCATTTTTCCTATATTTCTTTTAAATATACTTGAAATATAATGCATTATTCTTTGAGCAGATGTAAATCTTATTATTCAATTAAAAATATGTCTTAATAAATTGAAATTAATATGCTTAAAGAAAATTTTTAAAGTTCAAAAATCAATACTGTATTGAAAATGGTTATTATTTGTTGTGGGCTGGGTATATTTTATACATATATTGTTTGTTCTCGGTAGATAACGACTGGTTCGAGTGGGAATATGTATACTGATAGAGTAAGTATATCATGTTCATTGTTTTTGATTTTTTCACTTAGCTCAGTCAACTAAATTATACATTGTTAGTAATACTTTTAAATTTTATATGACCCACTCGAGCCAGTCCTACCCAGTTATGAATAATGTCCTTTTTATCTGCATTGTTAGCAAAAGTTATACCTTATGCATAGGTCACACATGTCCATGCATTTGTTTTACGTCAAAAATTGTTTGTAATAAAAAATTTATTAGTTTTACGGGAAAAAGTTTATCAAAGAATTATTTTATTTTGTAAAATACTCGGGAAAAAAATTCAGAAAATGAGAGTAATTAACGTAATTTGTTACAAAACAATATTTAGAAAAATTTTACAGACTGATCCCCAAATCAATTGATGGAACTAATAGACAAAGGGTGACTGAAAACTGATGGTATGGATGTGATGTAGGATTAAATAATGCATAGACGACTTTTTATCGTTAATACAGATTAACAATATGATTCTGAATATCGAAAATTTCAGGTGCGAGTGAAAATAGAAGGCGACAACGAACCCCAACCAACGATTCCAAGGGAAGAAGGTCAGGTGCCCTTCGTCTTTGTTGGTACTGTTGAAAGTATTGCTAATGCCAAAATGTTACTGGAGTATCATTTGGCACATTTGAAGGTATAACAACATAATAAATATATATGTTCTATATATCATATTACAATATATTTTCATTAACCTTCGTACGGCGAATTGTCTGATAGCCGATAATAACTTGATGCTTTATATAAAAATAATATTCCTTAGTCGCTGCTAAGTTGAATATCGATTACGAACTATAACGAACGTTTTTGCAGTATGGGAAATTATTTCATTTCACGAAATAACATATTGTAACAGTATTTAAAAAGTATGAAATAATCGTGAAGTGACGTTCACTGACAACTGTTGACAGTTGAGTGCCAGCAGGAATGAGTTTGAAGAGACTTGCGATCCGTCGGGCGAAGGTTAATCGTTTTCATATATTAAAGAATTTGTTCGTCTTTGTTTTAAAGGAAGTAGAACAATTACGACAAGAGAAATTAGAAATTGACCAACAGTTAAGAAGCATCCATGGATCAACTACGGGACCAATGCCCAATTTTCCTCCAGCAAGACGAGGAATGATTGCTGGTCCAGAGGAAGGTGGTGGAGGTCGTGGTGGCCGTGGTGGTCAATCTCGTGGACGTGGCAGAGGTAGAGCTCCCACCAGACACAATGCCGGTAATACTATTACTGATTATATCAACAATTTAGAGAACATATAAAAACGTAATGGCAGAAGTGGTGTCTGTAGCACTAGAAGTACCAAAGAGCCCACAACTCATTATTTCAAGCTAACGTTTAAATTTAGTTCTTATTATAGGTGTTTATTTCATTTACAGGGTTACGTCGAGATACCTTAGATGGTAGCGAAGACCGGGTAAGAGACTTACCTCCAAGAGGTGGTCATCAAGGAGGTGCAGGAAATTCGGGGTATATGGGCGGTAGACAAGGTCGTCCTCCACCTCAACGTAGAGACCGCAGAGACGAGCGTCGCCGAACAACAGATGATGAAGACACAGTTCTTGACAGTCAAGATGTTTCGAGCATCGATAGAGGTAATAATATCATTCAAATAATACTTTACCATAAAACAACCGTTTCGTCCTAAGGTGAATAGAATATTAAATTAAAATGCTTTGAGAGTGACATGGATTGCGAAGCAAACACTTGTGACCATCTAACACTAACAATATCAACGACGACTACTAATGCACGCTACTAACATATGCAGTAGCTTTTTATATAAGTGACTAAATATATGTAAATTTTAATTTGTTCATAATGTAATATTAAAAGATGGTCACAATGGTTTGTATATGCATAGAGTCTGTATCAAGTGTGGAGGGTGGACCTAAAGGCATAAGACGAAGACGGCTTCGACGTTCTCGACAACGTAGTTCTACACCAACAAATAGTGAACAAGGTAACTACACGTACGAGACTCGTACAATATCCCTTTAGGACGATCGGTTTTTGCCAGGATATACTGTTTACATTATTAAATGCGAAACAAGTATTAATATATTTAAATGTACAGAAATATTCAGAGTTAATGTATGCATTTGTTTAGGCAGCAATGCCGCCCCAGGAGACCAATCAACCGTAACTAGTAAAGAAGGGACACCAGCAAATGACATTTCTGCTACTAACAACAGTTCTCAAGGCCCTAAAGGCCAGAGAGAACAACGGTTTCGTCATCGTATACAACAGAGCAATAAGCCTAAAGAAGCTCTGGTTAATGGTACCAGTGGCTAAATAACCATTATGGTCGACAATTGCTACTTATGTATAACACTACACCTGATGAGAGCTATTAACACCCAGCACATAACATGACGCATACCTACGCAAGGACTACACGATTATGGAACGCGACATGATTAGTCTACGCTCGTTGTTAAGACTGTTTGCTACCGATAAGAATACGACAGTTGTTTAAGAAATCGTCATTCTCCTTAAACACATTTAAGGACACACATTAATATCCATGCATGGTTTAGTTTAATGATAGTTATTACGCTATCATGTTTGATATATGGATACATTCATTGGGAGATAGTAGAAGCATCTGGTAAAAAGGAATCCCCTGATTGTGAAACTGTGCCTCATTTTTATACCGAGCTCCCAACTTGTGTGACAGTAATTTCGACGTACTATACAGTACCTCTTAATCACTTGTGAAACGATCCAATAATAGCCTGGATATTCGTGGCTCGTACGTCAATTATCAATTTGAACAATTTTCGTCTAGATGTGTCGCTATATTCTCATGACAAAAGAACAAGATACGTACGAAAAGGCAGAATGTAATCAGTTTCAATGTTATTTCTATTCCCTTAACTAATTAAATGTTTGTTGTCACAAAGTTATTAATATGTTTAAACATACATTACGGCCAGAAGTACGAGTTTTGTGTTATCTTGTATTCGTTTTTGGAAAAACGAAGATAGAACCCACTGAATATAACTGTTTTGCGACATAACTAGGGCGAAACTGAATGTGATGTAAGAAAAATGGATTTCCGTTGTTAGACATAACAATCGTAGGCGGCAGCTGCATGAAATCTGGGTTTAAAGGTGTTCCCAATGATGTTCCTTCTATTTACTTCACAAGATGAGTTTTTTTTTTTTTGGTTTACAATTACTAGTAGAATTATTTAACAACACTAGATTTTTATGTTTCAATGCTGAGTGTTGATTAATAATACCATGATGAATGCTAAAATGACTTATTTGATTGTAAAAGAACACAAATGGGTGTGCACAAGAAGTCGGTTTTTATTTCCGGGTTCACTTCTCACGTAATTTAGTCTTTTTTTTTATTACAGTCTAAGCATACTATATCAAACTTAGAATTTGATATAAAGTTCGTTTCTGCATTCTTTCGCATGATTTAAAAGGAAAGTAAACGTATACTTAGTAATACCAATGTATGATGTGCCAGAGAAGGAATGATACATGTTTTATGATATCTAGCTGAAGTGCAGACTTAGCGCATACCTTTATTACTATAATACTACTTAGTCGAAATGTGGATGTCTGAAAAAATAAATTAGCTTTACTATACTAAGCTATAAAATAGATATGGCTAACTGTTTTAAATTGATTATCGGTGACTATTAAAAATCAACTGTCAATTTAAAACAGTTGTCTCTTCTTCCGGATATGACAACAACTAATCGGACGTGTCTCATGAATTTTGCAAAAACGCATGGCGGTTGATGCAATACTTGACACCTAATAAAGTAGCTGCCATTTTATCTGAATATTCTTATGGCAGCCAAAAAACTGAGATATCCCCCAACTTGCTTGTTTCAGATACATTTGTATTGATTGCAGTTTGTGCATAATTTAAGAATAAAACATTTCTGTACATAGAGCGGTCATTAGTATGATGAACCACAATTTTTCCAAAACATTAATAATCATTTTCTAATCTTCTCAGTCGTTTTAAAATAAAACCCTCGTTCCCATCCTTAACTCTGAAATTATTTGCTATTGAAAAATTAATATTATTATATTTGATTTCTGATAATTTGCAATTGCTAAATGCTGTATAATTTGAATGATTTGTTTTGTAAAATTTATTCTTTAGTTTCGTTTAACTAAACAGAAACAAATAAAAATATATCGTGGTTTTTGTATGTTTTTTATATTTGCGCTTTTTTTCAACAACATTCTTAGGTAGTAGCTTCATATATTCTAAAAATGTTTTATGTACGTGTTTGTGGTGATTTTGTAAATATCCTTTTCTAATTGTTAAGCGTGTTGCAATTTTCAAATTCAAGTAAAAATGACAAAAGCAATGCTTGGGTCCAATAACAATAAGGTAATATGTATCAAAATTATATCGATATGGTTATGTAAATAAGTTTGTTATGATTTTTTTTCTGTAATCTAAGCTAACTTTTAAGTAATCTGAACTCTAGGTATGTTCTATAAAATTCATAAACTTAATAAGCATAAATCGAAGTGATATACTTTTTTAACACGTTTACTGTAGTAGTAAATGTGCTGATTCATTGAAAGACCAAAATTCCTCAATTAATTGTGATATATCATTTTCGCACTACCTGAACACATATTATCTGATAGAAATCTGTCGATTCAGCTGTGATACTGCAAAGAACAGGTTGTCGAAGTGTACGTGCATAAATAAGTTTTAAATAAAAGTAGGACAATATTACGAGGCTATTTATATAAACCTCACCATTCTTCAACAGTTAAACTATAAAAAAAGTATTTCATCTATTTCTTATCAATAGGTAAATTAAGAAATGAAGAAGTTCTTCGTTGTCCCGTCTATGAGGGTTGGTGAGGGTACGTGAGGGCCCGAAGCTTTATCAACTTCATTGTAAACTCACCTCTGAGTTGTAAGAAGTGTACATGCGAGAAATCAGATATAGATCATAGCCCTCTGGTGGTGACATTGGAAGATGATACCATGAATTTTGTTCAGTACGCTTCTCATCTAAAGTATGTCTGTGACAAGGCTCTAGTCCGAGAGCCGTCAGCTGTTGTGTCAAGTGAACGTCCTTAACCAACAAAATAAGTGAAACTTATCAATAGTGCATAACCGTAATAGTAACCTTGTTATTTGTTACTGAAAGTGTTGTAGGACTTCTCAGCGTTTGTTGACAAAAACGAGGTTCGTTTACGTATTGATTTGATGAATTTTAGTTTGTTTGCTCGAGGACTTCTCGCACCTGCATTAGTGCTAGTCATTTATATGTAAGGTTTCTCAATATTCAATTCAAGTGTACTTTTGTGCAATCACGTCAAGAAAACAATTGATTTTGTGCTGTTAGAATCAATCTCGTAATAGTTTCGAATAAAAAGATCAATCTTAATGTAACGTATACATATTGGATGTATATTTTATGCAATATACGTGCACATTGAGCCTATTACAAATGGCGATTATTTTGTATCTCTCGTTAAATTTTCGTTTCTAATTATTCTAATTATGTTTACACCTATTGAAAAGAGTATAATTTTTTCTTACAAATATACGTCACGTTGATTTACGTTTCATCGTTTGCACCAACGACGAATTATTAAGCGTGAAGTGTACTAATGTGAAAACCTGCACGTTACAGCAGTATTAGAATTACACTTTTACATTTATAATCAATGTTTGATATTGATATTTTTGTGTTTCTGTTTCGTTATGATTCACGCGTCCTTCGCATAATTCTGTCGCGAGTCAAGCGTAAATTATACATTTGAATTTTGTTACATGGAAAGATAAATAAGTGCAATTGTGTAGTGGTGTGTTATTTGATCCACCATATTATCATCGAAATAGGCATAAATCGGCCAATGTTAAATCGGTGTGTGTCAAAATGTTTTATGTTACACATTAAAGATTTCGAAATACTGATTATTTATGCATCTCATGAAGGCGGAGAAATCGTAATTGATGACAAGTGTCTTGACAGACTACATAATTCCCTTTTTTAGTGAAAGTAGAACAGTCGCCTCTACAAGAAATTAGATATAAAATAATTTCACAAGAAATGATCAATATTCTGATATAAATTACTAACTATTAAAAATAAAATTAGGTGTTTACCTGAATGTTTTACGCGATAAATACGTTCGACAAAATTTCTGTTTAAATCATATAAGGACAATAAATATATCATATTTCGAATATTTTATATCTAAAAAAATTTCTGTGGCGACTAGCAAGTTGTAAGGTATAAACATTAAAGTTGTATTAACCTGTTTTTCAAAGTTAAATACGATCGATGTAATTACGCGTGTAATGGACTACACACGCATTTCTTATGGAAGCATAAGTAATCAACCGCATGTTAAACATGTTTATTATAGTATTTTCTTTAGTATTAGTTATAAATGACTTGTGCATTCTTTAATCTGTGAGTCTCATAAGGCATTCAGAATATAGGATATTTTCATATCGCGAAATGCAGACTTACACATCGTGAATTGTTTACAACTCTATTTGAATAACTGGACAAAAATTATTTTTTTAATTATTAATTTGAGTTTCAATGAAACACTATTTGGAAAACACTGGTTTAGAAAGTTCTATTTCACTTAATTGTTTTGTTTTTATTATTTAATGCAGATCAATTCTTCTTGCATCTGTGACACAAAGAATGAGACTGTAGTGAACCCGAATATCTCTCAGGATGTTCAAAGAAAATGATAGCAGTTCAGGAGGCTGCAGTGGTACGGCTCCTAGACCACGTAGAATATTACCACGATTTTCTCTTCGCCGATTATTGTACTCGAGTCCTCTTATTGGTCGGCGAATTATGAGGACCCCTAGTTCAAGTAACAGGAATACTAAAGGTAATAAATAATATGTTATGTAATAAACAATAGGAATAAATTGTTTGTGTTTCTAAGTATAAATTATTATTTTAGCTAAAGATCTGACTGGTAGCAAAACTGCGGATGTTGAAAAAGGAGAAGCCAGAGTAAGTAATGGTTCGAGCCATTTACAATTTCAGAACATAGATCTACAACGTGCTTCCAGCAAAGGCTCTGTACTTTCTTCTGCCGGAAAGGTATTTATAAAATGTATCTGTAAGATAAAGTGTTTGGGATATATTTGGATTATATGACTCAAACTACATTAGTTAACTAATGATTAAATTTAATGCAACAATTTTTAAATAATTCTTTTAGAGTAATGAAAATGGAATGGTGGATTGTCCTTTGTGTTTGGCCGAATTTCCAATGGACTTCTTTCCTGTGGTACAGTCTTGCCACCATCGTAGTTGTTACGACTGCTTTCAACAATATCTTAAAGTTGAAATTTCAGAATCTAGGGTTAATATAGCATGCCCTGAATGTTCAGAACCATTACATCCGAATGGTAAATTTATATTTCTGATGAGAAAGAATATATTACCGTTGCGAAATTACCTTTTTTCATGGAATTTACTTTTATGCAGATATCCGAATGATTTTGAACGACCAAACACAGTTGGAAAAGTACGAAGATTTTATGGTACGAAGAGTACTTGCGGTAGAATCTGATGCAAGATGGTGTCCTGCACCAGATTGTAGCTTCGCGGTTATTGCCAGTGGTTGCGCTTCATGTCCAAAATTGCGTTGCGAACGGCCAGGATGCGATTCATACTTCTGTTACCACTGCAAAGCTCGATGGCATCCTAATCAAACGTGCGATGCTGCCAGAGCTCAACGGACTCAGTACTACGAACGTAGTTCGTCTCTTAGTTTCAGTCAGAGCGATTCACAACACAGTGTGTATTCGTATTTTGTATTATGTACTTGGATAAATAAGTAAAATATAATATTCTACATCAATTATTTTCATTCAATAGGAGATGACATCAAGCCTTGTCCAAGATGTCAGGTCTTCATTGGTAAAATGGACGATGGAAGTTGCAATCACATGATTTGTGCTGTTTGCGGTGCAGAATTTTGTTGGTTGTGCATGAAAGAGATTAGCGATCTTCATTACTTAAGGTATCATAGTGTTTGATATAATATTTACTTTGAATGTTATGCTACTTTCATAATTCTTTACATTACGACTTTTCATTTATTTATAGTCCGTCTGGCTGTACCTTTTGGGGAAAGAAACCATGGTCTAGAAAGAAGAAGATACTTTGGCAACTTGGGACCTTAGTTGGAGCCCCGGTCGGAATTGGTTTGGCTGCTGGTATAGCTATACCTGCTATGATTATAGGTTAGTAGAACATGTATATTGTTTAATGTGTTTGTATGGTCTCGTTAATATCAAATTAAATGTTATTAACTGCCAAATGTAATACTGATAGAGAGGATTTGGTGTTTAAATATGTATCAATATTTGACTATATATTTTTTGCTACAGGTATACCGGTATGGGTGGGAAAGGAATTGTACACAAGGTACGAGAAAGCTAACAAACATAAGAGGAATGCCTTCATCGTCGGTGGCGTAACTGCATCCGTAAGTGAAAATGACACCTTTCTTATTCATCTTTTATATTCAACTTGGTCCATTGTTTAATATTTATTTTTCATAATTAAATATATTTTATGGTTAGGCAGAGTTATTAATGTCGCGTATGATACTATCGGTTATAAAAGTGTTCTTTTTAAACGAAAGCATCGAAAGTATGGAAAACCAGTGACAATTATAACAAATATATAATTATTCATAGACATTTTTCGAGAATCATCGTTAGACGTGTAAACACAGATATTTCTACAAATTCATGACAACATCAAGGTATATTTTATTTATATAGTTTGTACAAAGAAAAAGAATAATACAATTATTGCGTATGTAAATTAGCGATAACAGAATGTCGGTCTTATAGCCGTTACAATAATTGCGGGAAGAAATGTAGTCGGAGAAATAACTTCGAATCGAACGATTGTTGCGCTTAATTGGCATAAAAGTATTACCGTAGATCTAAATTATTTTATAGCGCAAGCGCCATTAGCATTCGTTTAGCTCTCGAGTCATTATCGATATCATAACCCCGTATTATATTTATCGACGTTCTGCTTGCTTGCGTTACGCTGACGTGTAAATATCGCGTATAGCAAACGAAATGTTTATCTTAAAATGTATATCGACAACGCAACTTTCTACGGATGTTCGTTAATACTTTCTTCGTTGGCAAACATTTTCGAACACAAAAATCTATCGGCTCTATGCTTTCCCATGGTAGTGGCACATTTAACGTGACTTGAATTTCTTTAGCTACCCGCAATTACACCGATATCGGCACAAGCTCTTTGCTCGCGAATTGTATCACGTTGGATTGCGATTTCAGTGTCCACGGTTGATCGCTGACCGGTTCAAGTCGGTTACCAGTTACCGGTTGCTCCTTTGAAGTATTAATTCACTGCGGCACTATGATGAGCGGTGATCACGGTGACTAAGAATCGCTTTCGCTGGCCGCGGTGACAGTCTCGTCGGTGAACACACCCTCGTTGTGGAGGTCCTTGAGGACGTCGATTAGTCGTTGTTCGGTGTCGGGATCGCCCAAGGCAACGTCCACCGATCCGATGCAAAGTAGAAGCGCTAGAAGCTGCGATCGCCTGTAATCTTTGCTCAAGTCTTCCCTCGTGTAGCCCAAGTCCTTGGGTATGTCGACACCGAGGCGTAAGCACGTGCTGATAAGGGTGTTCCAATAGACGTCGAGGAAGGTTTCCGTGTGCTCTCGACGCAGTTTGGTCGGCAACGAACTTACTATCAACAGAGCGATGTCGTTGGTCGGTCTGCTATAGGTAACCATCTGCCAATCAAGAATGCAACACTCGAGACCGTTGGGACCGTCTTTGAAGAGCACATTGTTGCACCAGAAGTCTGTGTGCGTGATCAGTGTGAGCGGTCCTTCTGGCGCGAGAAGCGCTGATATTATGTGCTTAGTCTTAGGTCGTAACACGAGCAGAGTCTCTAGTATTGCCTCTAGTCCGGTGTTTTCCAAAAATTCCGCGAGTTGCGGCAAACCACGCTCTACTAAGTGTTGGTACGAGTCCGTCGCCTTGGCTGTTTGAAAGAGGAACGGATAACGTTCGGACAGTGACTGACCCTCGATGACTTTCATCGCCAATGAGTGCGCGTGTATACGCGCGATGGCCTCCAACGCGACTTTTGTCTGATCGTACGACATTCCTTTGCGAAATTGAATGTTCCAAAAGTCCGAGTCGTGAAGATCCTGTAGCACCAGAATGGAATCACATGTTGTGAGGAAGCAGTCTGACTCCTCCGCTGGGGTATACTGCGCGTGGTAGCACACAGGTACCGACAGGGGTATTTCATCGCCCGATCTGTTTTCCTCTAACGCTAGTTGTTTCTTTTGGAATTCCTTCAAGTCGGGCATGACCTGACAAGATGTAAACAGAGTTGTAAATAGATCGTAAACACGACGGGTTTAACATTACTCGCTTACCTGTGTGTAGAATTTGATTTCCCGCAGGTCGAACTGGCCAGTGATAACGAAGAGACGACTGCACCCATCTTTCGGTAGCTCTTTCACGATCAGAGACAGATCCTTCGTGGTATTCGAATCCTCCAACACGTACGTGACTTTAACTCTACTTATAGTGCTCAAGGCAGTCAAGACGTTTCTCAAACAGCTCGAGTAAACCTTACTGTCGATTATCGTGACCTGTACATTATGGGGTTAGAATGTTTAAACGATCCTTCGAGAATAGCTTGCACACGTTAACACGTTTTTCAAATCCGTCGCGTATGCATCGCTATTAAGTAGCTGGGTTAAAACGGCTGCGCAAGACATTCCCTACAGGTAACTGTTAACTGGAAATCATAGTTTCTACCGAACTAACCGATTCTCTGTGAAAGTCCCTTAGGATATCACCAAGCCACTGCTTATCAATCTCCGACTTCTGCTCCTCCGTTTCGCTGGAGGAATCCTCCGCGTCCTCGCAACCCCAATGCCAATTCGCCATGGTTCCGCCTCGTTTTTGTGCTTTTTGTTTAGTGCGGTCAACGCGTGAGATCGATGCTCGTTAGGTGAACGAATGGGGGGAAAATATTGTGTCGTCGGTTACGATGATGTCCCGTGCGTCCGTCTGCTCCCCGTACAACGCTGATAAAGCACATCGACGCTCGCGATGGACAAATAGGCAGAACGCGCCTATTATTCCCGACTAGTTCTCACATAGATGACCGCTTGGGCTTCGTGAAAAACCACCGGCAGTCCCGTCTATTTCCTGCTACGTCGACCGGTTCACGAGCGCGAGGGCCGGCGTAGTTCGACGTCCTCTGATCGGGTATATCGGACAAAGCGTCGTCGGCACACCCTTGCCGCAGAGGCACCCAGCTATCTACCTTGATTCGCCCGCGGCACTCTTTCGTGCCCGTGCAACCCCTTCGATTGTGGCGCAGTGTGGATCTTAAAGTACGAACTGACACGACGGACACGCTCCTCCGTCGTTGCCCACTCAGAGGTGGATGCAGGCAGGGTGGGACAGAGAGGATATCTCCCATGCGCGCACTCCCTAACCCGCCCGATCAATATCCTTCCTTCCGCACCTCTCACACCTCCTGCTCCGCCGTGCACTTTCTCCACCTCCTGTTCCGCTGCCCGCCACGCTCTTTTCCTCACGCTCGATGGAAATCTGGAAAACAGATCGCCTCCGCGACGCGCCCGTAATCCTCTTCGGCTCGCCGTGACCGGAATATACCATTATTTCGAATTATTTTTGTAACCGCCACTAATCGCTAGGTATCAGCCTGGAAGCTTCTTTTTCCTTTTTTTTTTTTTTTTTTCAACATTTTGTATGATTGTTCCAAGTTTTATGAAGCACGGTGAAAGTGTCATTTTGATGATGGGGACAAATAACTTGGAAAGTTTTATTGTTTAAACGGGTTTCTTTTTATTTGATCACAATGGCAACATCTATTTCTTTATGAGTTCGTTTACGTTGAGTAAAGAGAGCTTCCTTGCTAAAATCATTTCACAATTACTTCGAACATACTTATAAATATCTATCAAAATTAAATGAGGAAGTAAAACGTATTTCAGAATTGACCGCAAAAACCGTACCTCATGCTTCATCTAATTTGATCACCAAGGATAATATTGGTACACGTGCTCGAGTGCACTCGAGCGTGGCTGTTAAAAGGTTAATATTACAACTGAGAAGGAAAATATTACTTTAAAATTTAGAGACTTTGTTCCTCCCATCTGAACGAAAAGTCTATCTTCAAGAAAAAATTTAATTTCCACTTCTCGTGGAGCGCTACAAATTTTACTTTGGGTTTCTTCTTCGCACAGCTATCCTACGTTTTTCCTCAACCATTCCAATTTGATTATCAAACATTGACGTTTTCCGTCTACCTTAATGTACTTGCTCCAATTTGTCGGATCTGAAGGGCAATTGTGTCTCTGAATGCCTATGTCTACTCGATTTCGTTCCATTTTAAAATAAAACTTTTCGCGAAAAATCCTAAGCCTATATACTCTGAGAGTCGATAAAAAAAAAAATCAACTTTTTAAAGCTTTAGTGTAATATTTTCCCTTGATGTTAATTCTGCGCTGAAGCGTACCGGTCCAGTGGCGTGATACTAGGGGCCATACGTTTACATGTACCTGACATTGTTATATGCGTACAGAGTATATAATTGCTCAAGGTCTTGGACAGGAATTAACCGTAACTCTTCGTAATAAATATTTCTTATAATACCGGGGATAAATATTGACATATCCCTTCTTGCCACTGGTGCTTATCGTTAGAAACATTCAAATAAGAATTATAATCCTCAAGAGCTTCACTGAGGATCAATATGCATGAAAATAATTAATCTTCTATTATTTGCGCATAATAATGCACTGTGGCTTAAATGAGCAACTTCTTTTCAGGCTTGTCGTTTTCCTTGCGTACTTGTACAACGACGCGTAGTTGAAAAATAATTATAACACAATTGTAATAAGTTTCCATGATAAAATTATGTAAATACGAGCGATTTACAATTGAAATTAAGTTACTCTCTCGCATTCACGATTTGCATACTTTTTTGTGCTAGTATACATAAAGTATAAATGACTTATGAGAGTGCACTTAAAACATTTTGTGAATTATTGCGCGCTTCTCCCGAGAAAGAGTGCTTCCGCGAAAGAAAGTACATAATTCTGAATTCTCCAGCGCGCATTGAGAAACTTCCGGCAGTACGAAACTACGCGTTACGAAACAATGATTCACCTAAGTTTGAAAGTTTGCGATATATCAGACTTTTTCTGCCGTTAAATTTTCATAAGTCAGTATCGAGCGAACTTTGCCGCCAGTATAAAATCAAACGAATCTTAATATTTAATATTTCTAGATAATAACATTTACATTAATATTTTATCTTCTTGTGATTGTTACAGGTGTTAGTGTCGCCAATACTAGCAGGACTGGCTGTGGGTATCGGCGTGCCCGTTTTATTATTTTACGTTTATGGAGTGGTCCCAGTTTCTCTTTGTCGAAGTGGGGGTTGTGGTGTTTCCACGAATGGCACGGGTGTTCGATTTGATTTCGATGACGAGAACGAACTGATGGGCTCTTTGGGTGCCCGCAACGGTGGAGGTAAGTATATTAATCCTCTCCCTTAAATCTCTCCACTCTTAATGAATGATGTTCGAACTTAATTACAACAGTAATTTTGTATCGCAGATGCAGCGTCGATAGACGTCGCGAGTCACCGTGGCGGTAACCCTTCGATAGGGGAAGCATCGCTTTCGCTCTATGGAAGCCAGTTGGAAAAGCTGGGTCGAGAAAATGATCGTGAGAGCGCCAGCAATGTAGCTCTTGCTGGCACTAGTCTTGCCGGAAGTATAGCTTCCAGTGTTCTTCCGGGTGGTCAGAGGTAAAGTGTGGTTTGTTCATTTGTATAACATGCAGTAGCTTGAAAATTACGTCTTATACATATGTTACGAACAGATTGGAGGTTCAAGCGGACGTGACGTCTACACAACGATTCAGCTTGTGCAGCGAAACCGTGTCTGTTACGACCAGTTTGTCAGAAAAGTCGGTGAACGCATCTATTGCTTTGGATGATGGAACGGCATCCACAAAAGCCTTGGCGGGTTCTGTTCAAAATTTTAAGGTACCCCGTTTTCAAGATTAAATTGATACATAGCTCTACCTTGCTTTGTACTAGATACATTTATATAAGAAACCACAAACTCATAATTCTCATATGTTTTTTTTTTTTTATCGTAGCTTAAGAATGAATTGGGTCCAAAGGCGTCGACGGAACCTCAAGAAAATCGAACATTCGCGCAGCTTTGCGTTCCTTCAAGCGCTGGACGACGTAAGCGCAATAAGGAGACGGAACCGGAAACAGATGCTCAAAAACCTTCGAAGTATGACTGGACTTAAATATTAATTTAATTCTACATTCGTATACATTACTGTTATTTTTGCTATGATTTTCAGAAATGGTAACAGTGATTCGAAGGTTGACTCGTCAGCGGACGACAACGTATCGCGGGAACGAGTCAACGTTGCCACGTTAAGGAATGTATTCCTCTATAGCTCGACTGTAACCGCGGATCGCGAGAAGCGATTATCAGTGATAGAAGAACCGTCTCCTGCAGGAGCACAGAATAAAGCTGCTCGTGTGTCATCTTCCGACGAGGGCTGCAAAGCTAGTAACGCGGAAGAGGATGTACCCTCTTAAAAAATGGAAAGACTGATTGTTTCTCTAATAACGATGTACACGCATCTTTTAAATACGGGACGTGTAGATACGTATTTACATATGTGTGTATATATGTATTTAAGTGTACACCGTGTGCGTACTCTGAGCTTACTGTATATTAGAGTTCTGCAACGGGCGGGTTATGGTTTAACTAGCCACCCGTTCACCCGATGGATGGACTAAGCGATTAGAGCGTGTATCGTTCATGTATCGATCAGGATAAATTAGTAGTCGCTCCAGCACTGCAACGGGCGGGTGTACCATAGTTTAGCCCACAACCTGCCAATCATGCATTTACACGAGACTCATCTGGTCGATTGTCACTTTCCTCGACCATACCTATGCCTTTTGTCTTTACTTATAGTAGACTCGCCCGGCGCGTATTGTCGCGTGCAAAAATTTTCAGATAGTTCTTCTAATTTTTAATTAGAGATGGCAAACAAGAATGAGTTTAACGAAACATTTAACGGAAGTAACTGTCTGGAAATTTCTACACGCCACGGTTAGTATAACACAACGGAGATTTCGAAAGTTTGTAGATTTCGCTCAAAATTGACCCTGGTTATTGATAGATACTGGCGGGTACAAATCTGGTAACGGACTACATTTGCAGAACTCTATTATATTTATGCATACCGGGTATAAACGTACTTTGAGTGCAATAGAGGGAACAAGTTAAAATTAACTTTGCGAAGCAAAGTATATCGAAGTAAACAGTATATGCATTCATATTTCCAAAATGTGTGCGCGTAAAAAATATTTGACACTCGCATACGCTAAAAGGCCTCAAGTTTGTTATAAACAGTTGACATAAATTTAACATGAATCATTTTCATCTTATGACAGCACCTTCTGAAGTGAGAATGAAAATCGTTGTAACGCGTGTAGGTTATGTTCTTGTATACAAACGCAGTGTTAGTAAATCCCAACTTCGACAAAAAATGACATCGTTGTCGCGTGGTATAACACAGAGTGATTATATAAAAAGTTGAACAGAAAGTATTGACAACTTCGTGGAGTCTTTATAATGTTGCATTTTACATCAAATAACAATTATTATTTACTATGGATAACGTACTCGTCAATTCGTCAATCATGTCTCCAGGTGTACAAGTATTATAAGTCTTTGTATATGAACAAATTTTCTAAATGTTGTCCCTCGATGTATGAAAATATACATAATATATGAAATACATCTCTAAAGGCAATGAGTATGCCTTTACATTGAATGTATAGTGTTTTAGGAGAAAAATTTAACATTACCATAAGAAAGGGTTATGGTAGTCTATTACTTTTTGCTTGTATTTATTTATTCTTATTTCCAGTGATTTATATATGATAATTTCTGATGCTTTATTAGGCATGTCGACAGCTTTGGTTTGTTTTTCTTGCCCATATATACACATTTACATAATATTACTTACGAGTCACTAACAAACACAATAAAGAAAAAGCGCGTTATGGAAATATTTTTGCAATTTTACGTTCAAGAAACTTATGGCCTTAAGTTTGAAAGAATTTAAATATATGTAAATAATTTTGTAAAATTATCTTCATCATCATACGTACAAACATATAGATATATATATTTGTTTTTAATATATATACAAATATGTATGTTTATGTTTAAAAGTAATAGCTATGTTGTCTATTTGGATAAGCTGATGTCATACGTCCAAATCAGTAAATTTCTATGGACAGGTTTTCATAGGAGTTTACATATACGTATGTAAACGGACGTGTGAATTCAAGAAAACCGAATTGCAAAATATGACATGAGCTGCCATATCATGTTTATATATACACAGTAGATATTTTAGTTAAATAATGCATATTTTGAAAATGTGCCTAGAATAAATAGTACACGGTACAAAATATAAAAAAAAAAGGCAAGCTTATGTAGAAACAAATTTTTAAAAAGTATGCATTTTTACCGATATTTTTACGAATTTTAAATAATGATTTAAATATATAAATTAGACAAGTGCGTTTCGTTAATATAAAGTGGGGTGCAATTTTTAATATGTTAATATATAAACAACATAAACAAATCCACAAGGAATAAAATTATACTTTTACAACCATAGTATTAGTTTCTTCAAATTTCATTAGTCATTGTACATTTTGTATGAAGACCAAGGTTTATTGTATTACAAAGGTGTATCATTTAAAATAGTATTTCTTTTGTGATGAATGTAAATTCGTAAATACAACAAAATATAATGTAAATTGTATGCTTCTTTAAATTATAAGAATATGTTTATGCTGTACAAATGTAATAGTGTTTTTTTTCTTCACAATTACATTACTATTTAATACAGACATACAATAATAATAGCACTGGATTATTAGTTAAATTTGGAAGACTGCAAACTTTTAAATCATTCTTATATTTACATACATTACATACCTTATATAAATATT